GGGATTTGAACCCTAGACCTGCTACTTGGAGAGGGTGACGACTTGACCACTTCACTAAGCCGCCACACCTCTATTTTAAAATTTTTATTTATTATTAATTAATTATATGCTATAGTTTTATTTTAGCTTAGAAATAGAGGGAGTCAAGCTTAATAAAATTTTTAGTAATTGTAAAAAAATATATAAAAAAATATTTTAGCAGCCAAATATGGCCACTAGACGGTTTAAGGGATAATGAAATAAGCCGATGTCGAGATGGTGTATTTTATCTGGCACTGTTGCTATATATATATTTAGCTAGCTAATATTATTAATATAAAAAATTTTGAATTAAAAGTTATTATTATCATTGTTTTTTTTTTTTAAAAAAAAAGTATTTTAAATATAATTACGGATGTTCTCAGAAAATATTATTTAAGTTATACATAGAGTATTGTTGTCCAAGTCTTTGATTTACAAAATTATTCATTGTCTCTGGGGTTTTTATTATAATTTGATCAGTAGTTAACTTCACTTTATTTAATTTGTTATCTAATACTAAGCACTCGTGACATGGATGCTTATAGTTAACTAAATTATATATTAATGTCAATGCAGCATTTTCTAAAAGATCACCTAACAATATAAAGATAAATAGATAGCACTATAAATCACCACTGTTTGTTTTAAAGTCAAATTCATTTTCTATATAATTAAGTAGTGGTTTCAATAAAATATCTAATAAATATTGATACAAAATTCATTTTGTTATTATAAATTTAGATAACTTTTTCTCTGTAATTGTCTTTGCTTTTAAAATCGGGAGGTAGGCCAAAAGAACTTTAGCATCGGGCTTGTTTTTGCGCCAACTGGGAATGTTACCTAATGTTAAATATACTGGGTGTTCACTTGACTTTTCCAGTTGGTCACATATAGTAGCATCTATATACAGCATTATCAATAAAATATTTGCATTATTAGGAATTGTTTTTTTTTGCTCTTTCCCACCACTTTCTATTATATTGTTTATAAAATATCTGTTGCTCTTGATGATATAATGGGGTAAACTCAAAGACACAATGTTCATATATACCTTGATCGCTTAATAAGTCCTTAATACAATCAAATATTAAGCAATAGTAAAGGTAAGGTCTCTGACATTTATTACCTAATATTCATTTACTATAGAGCTCTACCCCACTCCCAGGTAAGGTTTTTGATTAGCCAATCAAATTTTTGTATTATATAGAGGTAAGGTTTGGCTTTACCCTCTACTCTCTAAAATATTACCTAATAAATGTTAGCACTCTAATACATTTTTTCATTATATATCATTATAGGAGTTTTTTTTAAAAAAACATGTAATATTTCTGTTCTATCTAATAGTTGACAGCCCTGTTTGGTTGAAGTAGGTTATTCTGACATATCTTTTGTAAAAACCTAAATATTTCACTTGCACAATTTCCATTTCATAATTAATCCTATAAATTCGTCAAATTCTTCGCTAGAAAAACCTAAATTATTTTCTTTTAAACTACAAACATCAAGAGATGTAAAAATTACTATGGGTTCTACATCAAATAATAAATGCTCTACAATGTCGAAGATTTCTGTTTTATTAATTTTCTAAAATAAATAAATATTACAGTATTATATACATTATGTAGAATTATGCAGGGCTAAATATTTTTAAATCTGCAGTGCAACTGATACTCTATACATACTAACCACATCAGTTTTATCATTATAATCTATTTTTTCTACACCCATAATTGCTTTTTTTTGTTGTTCTTCTTGTTTCTTGTCACTTAATTCTTGAAGCACTTGTTCCCTATCAATCAATAATTGAAAATCTGGTTTTTTATTGCTCAACAATTAAAATTCTGGTTCTTCATTGCTCAACAATTGAAATTCTGGTTCTTTATCGCTCAATTGAAATTCTGGTTTTTTATTACTCAATAATTGAAATTCTGGTTCTTCATCGCTTAATAATTAAAATTCTAGTTCTTCATCGCTCTCATTATGCTGCATAGCATTTCTCTCTCTTTCATTTTTAATTTTTTGTAAAGCTGTTTCAATAATATTAATATCATATAGTTTTGCAAAGAAGAAAGACATGCAAAATATTTTGGACAATGTAGACAATAGTGTTGTATAGTAAAGTACAATTATCTGTTAATTAACATTTTAAACATAATAATGTATAAAAGAATTATTAGTATTAAATTTTATTATTATTATTATTATTATTTATTGTAGTTTTTGAAATAGTAAAAATGAGTAAAAAAAAAAAATTTTTTCTTTTATTTATTTTTAACCATTTCAAAAACTGCGATGATTATTTTTTTAAAATTATTATTATTATTATTTTTGGTTAATTAATATTATTATTATTTTTAATTATTATTATTATATTTAATTTTATTTTAATTATTTTTTTTAATTATTTAATATTATTAATTTTAAAGCTATAGAATTTTTCGTCTAAATATATCTATCATAAAATTCAAATACATGTGCTTCAGATTAATGCTTGCATCTTAACTTAGGCTGATTGATATCCGAGGCAAGCATTAGTTTGAGGTGTGACATATATAACCTCACCAACTTGCCTTAGAAGCACCTCTGACAATATTTATATATAACACCAAGTTAATAAGAACTTTTCAATAAATTATTATTTTGCCAATTTGCTTGTTATAAGCAAGATTTAAAAAAAATTTATTATGTAAGCCATAAAAATTATTATTTCACAAAATAGTATTAGCTTTAGCTAATCAGTTGATACTGATCAGGATACTATGTAGGGGCTAATGTAACTCAATAATTGAACATGCTAATGCATGCAGAGTTTATTTGATGGACAAATTTATTTGTTGCTGCCCGTTACATGATACATTTGTCATGGATCACATGACCTATAATTGGCCAATAAAATGTACATAAGTAATATTTTTTATTACAATATTATAATCACCATACTAGTAAACTAGAATTTTTTACAGTAAATTATTATAAAAACCATGTTCATTCAAGCATATCAATATTCAAATTCTAATACTAACAACTAAACCTTAACCATAACTAACTACTAAAACTAATCTCATTACTAATCACTAAAACTACTAAAACTAATTCTAACGTGTTAAACCCTAACTCTAACTAACTACTAAATCTAAATCTAATACTAACTGCTAAACCCTAACCCTAGCTAACTACTAAAACTAATTTCATTACTAATCGCTAAAACCTAACTCTAACTAACCAATTCTAACACTAACACTAACTATTAAAACCCAACTCTAACTAACTACTAAATCTAAATCTAATACTAACCACTAAGCCCTAACCCTAAGTACAAAGCACCATTGTGCAACAAATCCAATAATGACAATCTGGTACCGAAAAGACTCAAAAACGATACTGAAAAAAGAGCTACAAAACTCGATGAATTAAAAACAATACCAATGTCACAAAACGGATGATAATAAAAAGTAAAGAATCTCAAAATAACACTAAAAGCAATGAAATGAAACCTATCAAAAGTGACAAAACGAAACCTTCCAATGCAACGAAACCCATTAAAAGTATAATGAAACCTACCAAATGCAACAGAAAATATAGGTAAAACTCTAAAGACAGTACCAAGTTTGACACCATGAAACGCAGAATTCACACAACTAAACATCAGCAATATATCACGAATTTCAAGAAATCAAAAAAATTCATGGCACAGCAACCAAAGAAATAAAAAATCACCAACGACGATATAGAAACTGATGAACCTACTATCTGGAGCTAACAATATTGAAGCATGAAAACGAAACTCTAGCAATAACCCAAAAAGACGCTACAGCTACACTATTGAAATCGATGTGATCGTGCTAACGAAGACTAACAAGCAAAAACTCACGTAACAAAGATACCAAAAATGATGACGATTGCTCAAAAAAAAAAAAGTTAGTAACTACACTACAGACAAGCAAACACCAGTAGCTGTAGCACCAAACGGCAATCTTTGCAACACGAAACTTGAAATAGCAGCTCTAGAAACAGCGATGCTAGTAATGACGATGAACGAAGTCACTAGTAACAGCAACAACGATAACGACAATTCTAGAAGAAACAACGACACCAACGCGACTTGCTATCTATAAATCTAAAAAAAAAGGTTAGTATAATATGTATACAGAAAAAAAGAAAACAGTGATCGGCATAGCAATCATCATATATATACTGCATATGACTTGTGACAAAAATGTTGCATTACAGAGTACAACATAAATATTTATTCTTATTTGATTAATATATATATAAATCTTTAAATTTAAAGGTGGTAGTCAAAAAAGAAAAAATTGTAATTAGCGAGAACTTCATTTTTTTTTTTTTTCCAACTCAAATTAATAAAGCAAACACATATTTTATCGTGATTAGCAAGAACTTTATTTTTTTTCTTCCTAACTCAAAATTAATAAAACAAACACTATTTTATTATGATTAGCAAGAACTTTATTTTTTTTTTCTTCTCAACTCAAAATTAATAAAGCAACCACTATTTTATCGTGATTAGCGAGAGTTTCATTTTTTTTCTTTCCAACTCAAAATTAATAAAGCAAACATGTATTTTTATTATAATTAGCAAGAATTTCAATTTTTTTTTCTTTCCAACTCAAAATTAATAAAGCAAACATGTATTTTATCATGATTAGCGAGAACTTCATTTTTTTTTCTTTCCAATTCAAAATTAATAAAGCAAAACATATCTTTCAAACAGTGAAATAATGGTAAAAGTTGGTGAAAGGTATCATACATACTTCATGAAATAACTATAAGTCAAGAGTAAAACATTGATAAAAGGTGTCGTTAATAAGAAATATAAATAATAGTAAACCAAAGTATAAGCCAGAATTAAATGTGAAATTATCTGATTCATAGGTTAGTTATGTATGTATTTTATTCTTAATTTATATTAATTGTACAATATATTTATATATATATATATATTTTATATGTCATGTTTGAATTTAATTAAGCAATATCATAATGTTACTACTCATTAGTAATTTGTTATTCATCATTACTTCAAGATTATCAGTATTTAGTTATTATTTAATAAATTTGTCACCATTATATGACATGTTATTATTTAATGGATATTATTTTACTTTTTGTACTACTAGTAGTACATTTGTTAAAATGTTTTAAAAATCTAAAAAATTATATTTCCAAAAAATTTTTATATACAAAAATCTGATAATTACTATAGTTTAGTTTGGCAAAATTTTTTTTAATATTATTAATAAAGTTATTAAAATAAAAAATATTTTTTAAATCCTATTTTTTTCAAATTTTAGTATACTACCGGTAGTACACTATTTAGAGCAAATTTACTCTTAAAATTATTAAATAACTTTATAAAATAAATTTGAATTATATAAAAAAGGTTTAGAACTTATTATAGCAAAAAAAATAATTACTAGTTATATAATAAAAAATATAACTTGTATTATAAGCTTTGTATTACAATAATAAAAAATCATTACTATTTTTAATAATTCATATAGGCTCTTTAATTTTTAGCTATAGTTAAAAAATTTTTTTTATTAAATAAATTTTTTAAATTTTTTAATTAAAGTTGTAAATAATAACTATTTAATTTTTTTTTTTTTTTTTTTTTTTTAACAAGTTTTGCCGTGACTTGATTTCTTAGTTTAAATATATATAAATTATATACAATTATTTCTAAGACTAAACAAAAGTTTGACCTCACCCGGTTGTCTATTCAGGTACTTAGATGCAACACATCGCACTGGCTCATGGATGTGCCAAAAATAGTTCTTTTTATGAACTTGTCCAAAAGGGATTTACACCCTTTTGTATCCAATTTGAGACCGCATCACCTCATGTTGTATATAACTTCATTTCTTTTATCGTGATTTCCCTTCTTTTTCCTTTACATTCTTTTTTCTCAGCCTAGAGATGGAGGTCATATTTTTTTTTGGCTTAAAAACTTTACCTTTTTTCTTTCTTTTATCGCGTCTGTTTATATTATAAGCTTTTTTCCAATCAGCAAGTTTGCTGCATCTATTATTCCAGATAAAGTTATAGAAACTATTCTAGATTATATAAGCTATAATCTCGATTGTTCTTGAGATCATTTTTGGTGATTCCAAAAGATTCTTGATTTTATCAAAAGAGTTTACTGTGGTTAGATCTTTGATCCATAATCTATGCTTTTCTTGTTTATCAATTTCTGTCTCTCCGATTAGAATCTTGTACAAGGAGGTTTTCGAACACTTAAATCTTTCCTCTGCTATAAGTTTCAACTATGCTAAATCAATCGTTTTATCCTCAATATCTTGCCACATCTCTTTGTAGTGAGAATATTCAGCTAGATGATCTTGCATTTCAACAATATTACTATTACACACTATATAGTTACCACTAGTGTATATATCGGGTCTTCTTGTTGAAAGCATTCACAGAACTGGAAGGTTTTCTAAAAGGCATTTAAGTTGTGTAGCAAGTCGCTTGCTTTTTTGCAATGAATCGCATCTTGCTCTCTTTAATCTTGACATTCTTTTCCAATATGTATGCCAGTCTAGCTTAGGGTTATTCAAATCAGGTTCTAGAGCTAATATTGATTCTGTTAATCTCCAATTTGTACCATTTTAGGTTTCAAAAAGTTTCTTTAGAAATGGTCTAGTTGCTTTTTCAATTCTATACTCTTCCCAGTAGAGTGGGAATGTAATTCTTATATTTATGTCTGCATGTATATCTGTTGTATATGATAATGTTGTGGCTTTTTTTGCTAAAGCATTTGCCTTATCATTCCACCTATTGTTGCTATGATCTTTAATCTTTTGAAGTTTTAGAACGATATCTTTAGCTTTGATAAGATCAGCGATCTTGATTAGAATCTCCCAGTTCTTCTCTTTGTAAACTCTATTAAATCTCTATTCTGTTTTTGTTTTGTTTATACTTGCAATTGCTGCTACACTGTCTGAGAAAATACATACATTACCCCCTATTAAAATAGTAAAAAGAGCTAACCAAATTGCAATAAGCTCGGGCTTTGTTAATGATAGCCAATTAACTAATTTAGCATAACCCTCCTATAAGGACTAAACTTGCTCCTCATTTACTTGTACCCAACCAATTCTCATACTACTAACCTTCTTTTCGAATTAATAAACCATCTGTATATATTCAAAACCTACTTCCACTACTACTATTATTAAAGTCTAAATTACTACTCAAATTATCCACCAAGATCATGTCAAAATTCTGATTCAAAATTAGCTACTTGTCCAATGGTTTAATAAAAATTTCACTATTGAGTATTTCTTCTCTTTTTCTGGATTTAAGCACAGTATGTTTAATGGTTTTGTATGGGAGAATATCTTTGTACCTAGGGATATACTTTTGATTGACCTTTTGCAGCAGTTTAGAGATTACCGTGTATACACTACTTTGGCTAATCCATTTAAGCTTTTTATTCTGTTCTATTGAAAGTGCTTCACTAGGCTTTTCAATTTCTACATAGCCTAGTAGCGTATTGTTTTCTGAAGTTACCCAGTACCCTGTCAGAACTTTGCTTTTGCTTTTTTTAATAATCTTTCTCATTTTTAAATTATCATTTTCTTTATCTATCAGAATTCATTCTTTTTTTCTTTTGTCAGAAGAGATTGGTACAAGTGGCATCTTTTGCACCAGATTATTTGGTCTGCTGCACGCTAAGTCATCTTGACTTCTCTACTTTCTTGGTCTTGTAGCAAGATCTTTTCTAATGATACAAACCATGTAGATTTTTATCTACTCTGGTTTTGCCTTTTGCTATTTGAGTTGTTGCCAGATTAGAAGTTTTTTCCCTTCTCTGTCTAAAAGATAATTACGGAAGATAATACCAAGATTGAGTATATTTTTTGCTGCTTTTATAAAAAGAGAAGGACTAATGAATTCTTTGATAAGTGGGTCTGAATTTTGAAAATGCTATTGATCTGTTATAGGTCTAATATTTATACCAAATTCTTTTGCTTTACATAAAGTCAGACATGTTGTATTGTTTCTCTATATTGATTTTAAATCTGTGCTTGGTTCAAAAAGCCAATTATTGTTGATAATATTTGCAACCAAAAAACCTTGTTTGATATGTATTTTTGCTAATTGATCATCTTTGTCTGTACTATTTAATCTGTAGTGCAGGTCAGTTGTTTGCTATGTCAAGAGTTTTTGCCAAAGAAATTTGCAATTTTCTAAATTTCTGTATACTAATAGAAAATTGCTTGTTGTACAAGGCAGATCTATTATATTTTTTATAAGCCTAATCATTGGTTGATATACTAATTCCAAAGCGGTCTTGGATAGACCAGTTGCTTGTAGCATATAGCACAGTTTGGGAATCAAATATATATTGTTTAAGTAAATTAGTTAACTTAACATGAGCTTCTTGTTTTTAATTGTTTTTATTGTCAATTGGACGAGGTAATTGGCCTTTTTTTTTAATAATATGTCTTGCTTTTTGCCACTCAAGCCTATTCCTAAAAATTTTATAAGTGTTTTACTTTTCTTTGCTTCGACTTTTTTCATTTGCTAAAAGTATATTTTTTCTATCCACCATCACTGCTGAGTTGACTACTATTAATTTTGACTTTTTAGGGTTGACTCTAATATTATTTATAGTATAGAACTCCTCTGCAATTTTAAATATTAACTCTAGCTAGACTTTGCTCTTAGCTATCCACGTTGTGTTGTCTGCGTATGCTATAGCTGCTTGATAAAAGTTTGTCTCTAAAAAAGAATTGTTTTAGAGATCGAGTAGTTCTTTTAAGTTAACTGTGTAGCCTAGATTCTTATTGCTTTGTATTCTATATATCAAAGAATCATAGAATATTCTCTATATGAGTGGAGAAAGAACTTCTCTTTGTTCTATATCATCTAAAGCTATAATATTTTCTGTGGGGCCTAGCGCTGTTAGAATTTTTGTTTTTCGATTTTCAAATAGATTTATAATGAAATCTATTGAGATACTTGGAATTTTAACTCTTTTTATTGCTAGTCTCAGCATTTGAAGAGGAACTGAATCAAATGCTTTTTGTATGTCCTAAAATAGAAGCCATAATTCTTTTCCTTAGCATCTTCGATAATACTACTTAATATGTATATTGGTTTGGACATTGAATCCCCAGGTAGGCCTGTGAAGTTTGGTCCTTTAAGAATTGAGTTTTTTGTCATAATCTCTGATAGACGAGTTGCAAAAATCTTTGTTACACACTTGCGAAAAGTTTCTAACAGTGCAATTGGTTTTAGAGAACTTAATATACCATCTCATTCAGATGATTTTGGTATAGGATAAATCTGGTTATATTTTCATTTGTTTAGGATTTTATCAGTTTTTAAACAAAAGGATCTAAATTTTCTAAAAAATTTATGTGTAGTGTTATTTGCCTTTTTAATCAAAACATAACCAATTTCTGTAATACCTGGTGCTATATTGTTCTTGAGCTTGTTAAACATTTTTTGCCATTTCTCTTCTGAAATGTCTTTTTCTAAATTTATATACCAGGTATCATTTATACTTGATTGTGATTTATAGATCTTTATCCACTCTTCTGATAAAAGATTCAAATTTGAATGGCTATTATCGTATTGGCTCTGAAAGAAGGCATGGGTTCTAGATAAAACATCTTTTGGGTTCATATATAACTGAAAATCATTGTTTATTTTCTCTATAACTCTATCTAGTTTAGCTTTCGAGTATGGCTTATTTAGTATACTTTTGAGCATCTTTCCTTGTTCGTCATGGATCATTAGGTATTGATGGTCTGTGAACTCTTTGATTTTCTCCTTTTTATACTTCTCTAATGTTGCCGCCCATTTTTTGTTAAACAAATAGAGCCATCTCTTCATGTTTTATACCCATTCTTCTATTGTCGCCTCTTCATCTAATGTTATATTTGTTTTATGTTTATGATTTATCTTGTAAAGTAAAGATTTAATTTCCTAGGTGAGACTACAGTAGTAGCTTTTTGATATTTATTTTCTCTTGCTAATCTTTTAAACTCTTGACAAATTTTGCTTATGCTGATAGTGTCTTCATGAAGAGGCATCATTGTTCTTTTTGTTTTCCATATTGTAC